ACCACGTACAGTTTTGTTTGTAGGGCAACAAAATAATGCTATGTTGTCTGGATTCTGAGAGGTGGCGTGATGTTAAGTAATATTTGATATATAAACTTGTCTGTGCAAACAAAGAACAATTTATAATGAAAATATGGATTGTTTTAGCAACATCACTGTAAATGACGCTCCTCAAGAGAAGGTGATACATTTGTAAGTAATGTACCGTTAATGAATATCTTTCTTATAAATGTATGTTTTACACACAATATCATGGACAAATAGTTTTGATACAACTACAACCTGACTTTTTTTTTTTTTTTTTTTTAATTATCCAAAGAATTTAATAAATCCATTAGTTTTATTACAAAATGTTGGACTTGATTCATTGTAATGCTGAGGGCTCATGCAGGATCCCCTGTGAGAGGTTATGGCGTCTCAGAAATTCAACACTTGAAATATCGTTGTTCTTTAAAGATATACTATGTACCTTTCAGGGGGAGGGTCAGCTACATACTGAGATTTTATAGTTTTCCTGAAATGTTCCACCGATATGCATTAAAAGTTCTCCACTTCACAGATTTAACCTACAACTTGGCTCACTAGTGTCAGCTGCATGTCTCTGTGAGGTTAGATATGTTTAATGCTATACCATGCAAGGTTTGTCCACAGAGAGAAGCAGATAGTAGACCCCAGAAAAGCTGCATAATGCACCTTCAGTTTATTCAGACATCTTTTTCTTATTTCTCTTTTGTCCTCATAGATCACGTGAAGCATAAAACTGCATGTTATATAAAACAATTTAAACCATCCATTTGAACTTCCACCCTTTTCACAACCCTATAAAATCGTTAGTGCGGGAACAGGGTGAGGATTGGTCATTTTGGTTCATAGGAGATTGGTCAAGGACACTGACGCCATGGCACCAGCAGGAATCCAATGACTCTACTGTGACGCCAACTGTGATTTAATATGTGAGTAGAGAGTCCAACAGCTCAAGCTGGAAACGTGATGACTACAGAACTGGTGCTCTGGAGGAAAAAGACAATGAAAATGAAATAGAGCAGAAATGTGCACATACATGTAAAATGGTGCCTGGTTAGATTAGTGAAAGATGGGTGCTTTTGTCAGTTTTTTCCCTACCATTTATGAGTTTTGACATTATTATTTTCATTTATTTTTGTGAAATGATTACACAGGACAGCACCCATCAAAATGGTTACCAAAATAAAAATAATGTACATCAAATCTATAAAGTAAGGTGTATGGAATTATGTAGCAAAGAAAAAAAAGTTATTATTATTTTTTTTATTACAGACTTTTTATTGGTAGTGTATATGAAATAACTACTAAGTATGCTTTCAAAAAAAGAAAAAGGTGGCTAATTTGAGAATTTGGTTATAAAATATAAAAATATATATTTAGTAATATTTTTTGCTACATAATTCCATATATCTTAGTCATATATATGATGTCTTGTGTATGTATATAAAATGCTGAAAGTAGTAAAAAAATAAATAAAATAATGAGAGGGTGAGTCCAGACTTTTGACCAGTAGTATGTATACCACTGTGTCTTTGTCTTTGAGAAAGGTTCTTTTCATTGCCATTTCTTCTGGCTGAGAAATTTGCTCAAGGCTCTATATTATAACAATTTATTAAAAGGCTTATGCAGTATACCTGACAGTGCCTAATGGCTCACTACCTGCCACACCATGATGATGGAGAATCCAGCTCATTTAATGTGTGATAGAAATAGTAAGCAACACCAAATATATTCTATCCATGGGTTTCAGAATGGTAAAAAGTACGACTGTTGCCATAGCAATGAATAATTTAAAGCTAAATATTATATCTTTTCAATGGGAAAAGGTCCTCAGAATGTTGCAGGAAGCTAAGACCCATGAATATACATACAATCAAAACAATTTCTATGTAGGGCTCGACAAATTTGGTCTAAATGTGGGAACAATTTCTAACAATTTCTGGAGCCCGATACAAGTGATATTTATTTTATTTTATTTATTTTTTACTTTGCTATTTTCTTATTTTTTACTTTGCTTTTCTAAATTCAAGGACAGCCCAAATACCCTTTAAAGGTCCTTTACTATGCAAAAATGACTCTTGTGAGCTTTGTGTTGTTACCTCTTCGATAACATAACCTGGAGTTGTGTTTTGTTTCATTCACACATGTTAGATGTTAAAGTAATCCTTTATTATTTGTCTGGCTCAAAATGCTCTGTTCCACCATGTGGTCATGAAGGTGTAATTTTCAAGTTCAGCTGCTACCATTTGCCTTTTGTTTTCTAGAAATTGGCAATTCCAGAACTGAAATAATCCAAATGATTCTACTGAAGATGTATGGATTTTAAAAACACAGTGGAGCACTTCCTGTATTACCCCCTGACATCACAATGTGCAACAGAGTGTTTGAGAGAACACAGTGTAAATATGCAGAATGTATGTGTTAAACATGTAGGAATGAAACATAACACAACTCCAGGTATGTTTTTGTCAAGAAAATAGCGCAATATGGCCTCTTTACATTATGGAGCACATTACTGTACACAATAAAAAAAAGAAAAGAAGAAAACTATTTTGTATTATAAATCAAACTATACTTCGGGACATTTCAAGAATAAATTATTGTCCATGTGTGCATTATAAATGTAACCAGCCTTGAGCACTTTTGAGAACCATCTGTCATGTACTCAAAACACAGATGAAGAGGGTAGCTGCACATCCATCCATTTTGAAATAAACAATATCAAAGACGTAACCTTGGAATGGCAACAGTGTGGATGTGGGCTGCATGAGAGCACAGGGAACCACTCCCAAATGTAGCAGTGAGAGACAGTGCTTGCCTTAAGTATTATAAATTACTGGAAATGTGAAGAGAGAAAACACTGAAAATTACCCAACAATTCAAAACAGTTACATAATCCCCCATGTATCAGAAAAGAGAACATTGCCATTGTCTTCTCTGTTATATCAACATGGTATACTGTGCAGCACTTAAGGACAAGGATTGCCCTCTAAAAGCAGTGCACTTTTATCAACAGGAACGTTCTTTCTATAGGTTCTGTCCACGCTTATATCATAAACCAGGAAGACATTTGTAGAGATGTGATTACAACTTCTGGTGTAGTTACTGACAATGGACATGCCTAACATGGATCTATTAAAACTGGCTGTGATAAAACCCACTGAAGTAAATGTCATCAGAGGTAAAATGAAAACTGCATATGTGTGTCATGTTTGTAATAATATTGAATTTGGTGCCCTCATCTCTCGGAGTTGTGCGTCAGTGGGGAAATGATGAAGACTGAGGGATGGTTCTAATTGTTGATTAGCCGAACATAACGGAACACCACAATAACATGTAGATGAAGAAAACTGGGCCTGGGAAGTTGTAATCGCATCTTTCCAAACGTCCTCATTTGTGACGTAAGCGTAAATGGCTTATTGAGGCACACTCTCAACACATTTCCTGTTTGTTCATCTCATCTCTGTGAATACCACCATACCTATTTCCCTTCAAGGACAAGACTCATATTTATTTGGTATCATAAATGAGCTATGCAGTGATTCACAGGATTTAATGAACATTAGTCCACTGTTTATGTTAATGGTTTATGCATCTATTACTTTCATCTTAATTCATTAAAAAAAGAAGAAAATTATGCAATAAGTCATCTACATGTCTAGAGCAGCAGTTATCATATCATTTCATTCAAAAATGCATGGCTTGCCTGGTGAGCCAAAACCACACACTTTTACCATATGTGACAAAGACATGTGGGTCTGGTACAGTATCCAGACTACCCACTTTACAATAGACATGATTGAAAGGTGGATTAACCAGTCATAAAAGTGCATGGTATGTTTCTGTTAAAACAAACATGGCAGAAATGAAATGGTAAATGGTCACATTTTTTATTTAAGAACCTCTCACCCATTCACACACACACATTCATAGGCCAGTGCACGCTGACAGGGATTCAAATCGCCAACCTCAGTGGACAAACACTCTACCAACTGAGCCACTGCCTGACATTCCATATCTGTGCTGTAGGCTCACTGCCAGCTCAGTCCTTGTTATCTTAGTCTGTGTCATCAGAGGTATAATACTCCCTACAACAAAAGCATAGTCCAGTTTAATAGACTGGACTCTATTAGACTGGAATGGACAACACTATTATAATTTGTTGACCAGGTGCTGGGTCCTGTACTGATGCTAAATAAACTTCTTCTGAGTTAGAACTCCAGCTTCGTGTCTTCCACTCTCGGGCTGCTACAATTTATTCTATAACAGTAATTCCATTTCTGTGGTATACGGAGGACACTCACTCCCAGCTCAGTATACTACAGAAATGGATTTTCTCTAATGCTTACTAGTATAAAAGAAAAACAAAATAACACAGAACTGAGAAACGGCACAGACATCAGAGTGAAGTATTGAACTCTTGTGTATCTGAAATGAAAGAATGGTACGAGAATATTCAACAGGCGATGCTTTCCACATTTGAAACACAAGTACTACAAATTAGCGACTGTCCATAGCATAGACGGTATATATAAACAGACATAGCTAACTCGCTAGCTGCCACATTCCACATGGAAGTGAACATGGGGGTGTTTCCCGTTCAACTTCAAATGACTTTATGTTAAAAATCGTCCCCTATCTCTTTCTAACCACTGCTGTATTGAACCTCATTTTGATCTTTAACTGTGAACATTAACCTGCTATACCTGATCCTGGTGTTTTTATTTTGCTATCTTGTCTGTAAATAAATTAATACTTCTAATACGGAACTCTGCTCCAAATTCACTCTTATATTGTAATTGCTAGCCTTGTGAGCTTCATTTGACTGGAACTTATGGTCCTAAGTATGGACGACTGATGAACTTTATCATGTGGTTCCAGACCCTTCTGCATTTGAGCAGAAATTAGACAGGCAAGTGCATGGCTTAAGTACAATGACCAATCTTTCACTTTTATAATGACAGAAATATACAGACCTGTAGCTTCCACCATGCCCTCCAGGATGACCACGATCTCGAACTCCTCCTTCTCCATCTGAGCCATGGACAGCTCCCAAAAAGGACTCTTTTCGTTGATCTCGTGGGAGATGATGAGTGGAGACACCAGAAATAAGCGATCATCCCCGGTGTCAAATCCAATGTTAATATCGGTCTGGTTCAGTGGAATGAACTCTCCCTCTTTAGTCTGCTGAGATCGGATCAGCTTGGCCCGGATCGACGCCTCTACGATATGGGAATTCCTCAGGTCTCCCACTCGGAACATGAGGCACATCTTATTGTCCCGTACAGATATAACAGCATTGTGCGAGAACATTAGAGTTTCTGCGCGGTTCTTTGGCTGGGATATTTTGACAAACATGCAGCCCACCATCATGGCATTTACGATGGATCCCAAAATGGCTTGCACTAAAAGCAAAATGATACCTTCTGGGCATTTTTCCGTGATTACCCGATACCCGTACCCTATGGTTGTCTCTGTTTCAATGGAGAACAAGAAAGCGGAGACAAAACTGTTGAGGTGCTCCACACAAGGAGTCCAGTCCTCCTCATCAGCGTGTAACAAGTCTCCCCGAATGAGTGCAATCAGCCACCACAGGAAGCCGAAGAAAAGCCAATTGACGACATAGACCAGGGTAAAAATGAAGAAACTAAGTCGCCAGCGTAAGTCCACGAGCGTAGTAAACAGGTCGCTAAGGTACCTGTAAGTCTCTTGGACGTTGCCATGGTGAACATTGCACTTTCCGTCTTTTTGCACGTAGCGTTGTCGTGGTTTTTTCGCAGGGTCTGTGATGAGATGTGTGCGGTCCGTTGGGATCTGAGCCTCTCGTAAGTGTTTGGGTAGCTTCTTCACCTTTCAGGAAAAAAGAAATATACAAAATATTATATAAAATTTATCAAACTATAATAACTACAACTAATGAACCTATGCTAATTGTTTTTCCTTATTCTTTTTTAAGGTGTAATTATTATGAAGTGTACCCAATCATATTATTGATTTTTCAGTGGTCTTCCTGATGATCTTCAAATGACTGTGCATCTTGACACAGAGAGAATATGTAAACCTCAAACTGAAAAGTCCCTCCTAAGAATCAAAATTAATTCCTAAATATTGTTTCTTAATAAGCACTGAGTACATGTACTGACCACCTACATAAAACATTATTTGTTTCCTTATTTGTTGCATTATTTGTTGCTCTGTTGCACTGGTGCATTTGTACAGATATACAAGGACACAGGGGCAGCAGGTCTGTCAGCGTTGGCCGTGCTCCAGTGCTCTGTCCCTTTTGTCCTCATGTCCCCTCCCTCTCGTCCCTCTCCTCTCTATCGCACTTTGGCAACTCTACCCTCATCCATCCTCCCTCCATATAGACGACTAAATCAATGACTAAATTAAGTCTGAGCTATCCAGTTCAACTATGTCTAAAAACATAAGTGAATTTCCTCTATTTTACCTCCGTGACTTGGTTTCTTTCTTTTTTTTTTTTTTTTTGTGTGACAGTTGCAAGGACAAAAAGAAAGACAGACCTGCTAAGGCACTTTGACAGAAACCAAGGACGTGTTGTCAGTGCATTGACACGCAAGTCTTTCAGTTGATAAGTACAGTGCATTGTGTTAAAGCATGACAACATATTATTGTTGAGCTAATAGGACACCTGTGTACAACTAGTCATGTGTGTCACTAAGAGACGTACCTATTGTGTCCAGAGTGTGTTGTATTATACAGATAGTGAAGGACAAACAGTTTTGTCCTCATGGCTGCAGCTGCTTGTCTAATGTGCCATATGCTTCAATGAAACGTCACACATGCCACTATCTTTGAATGTGGTTTAGTTAGCGCTGTCTACTTTTATTGACTCAACGGATATCAATTTGCAAGGGGATGTCTTTTAGTGTATATTTCCGCTAAGAAATATTGAAAAATGATTGTATTGATTAGCATCACAGTCAGTAACACGAAATATGCCCTTCCTCATTAACACTATAATAAACACTGAAATCAAATGCAGCCAAATGGATTCTAAATATTAAGATGCAAGGTGACATGGTGCAGCGTTTGAATTACTGTTAATTAGTGGGAGATAACAGAAGAATGCATAGGCTTTTCCATCCATTTCCTCACATTTGCGTCGGGGTAATTGAGTGATAGATGAAGCCGTCACATGTAGTGTCACCAGGCTTTGGCCTTTGTACTGTCAATATATATTCCCCCAGGGCAATGGACCATAAACAAATTCATTAGTCCACTCTACATGGCTGAGGTAAGTGCCGGGTGGTTTATCTCATTGAGCTTCTCTGTCTTTGTACTGCTCGAATGGGCAGTGTAAGCTCCAATCAGTCCGGAGGTCTAGACAGATATCGGTTTCAGCTGGGTACCATCCTTAAATGGCTTGTCCCACACTTATCAAACCAAAGTGAGATAAAAGACCCATTTGTCCTCTGCACTTAGTTGACTGGCAAATTGGATACAACAATTTTCTATATCACTGCTTAAGTCTGGATATTTGTATTTAAAATGTGCTTTGGCATTATCTATATGAGATGTCATTGCACAAATCTGTTATAACTGCCACTGCACAAAGCCTGCAAAAAAGTGGTAACTTAGATCCCTGTATTACTGTCTACTAAATTTAACTAAACTAATGTAACTAAATATACATACATGTGGGGAATTATTGATTTGAAATAGATGGCTTTCAAGGCCTAATCCGGTCTCAGTGAACATGTACACTGAGTCACTTGACCTTGCTTAAGGGGAAAAAAGGCATGAATGTACGTATGCACTACACAACCATACATAAAACATCAGACTGTCCTTCATTAAAAGTTGATGAGTACAAATCCACAACATACATAAGAAGCCATGTAAATGAGGAGATGCCTTTTGCATTTTTATATGAATAAATATGTTTATAGTTGAAGTGATGAACATTAAGCTGTGATCTTTTTTAATATTTTAATCGTGTCAGTGTTTTAGTTTGTGACATTTTGAGCTCATGTTGCTTCCTTTATGAAATATATTTAACATAGCACTCTTTCCAACATCTGCACAGAATTATAGGTCCCCCCTAATTTTACAATTTTTTATTTTTATTTTTTTATTTTTTTAAAGACAGGACAAAAGTCTAGACTCAGACTTTACCTGTGCAGGTGTGACTCCTATCTCCATGTTGTGGTCCATGAGGACTCGAGAATCTCCTGCCATCCTCAACTGCTGCTCAGCACCTGGAAAAAGCACAGAAATATCAATATTGAAGACTTCAAATACATTCATAAATAACTGCAGAATGCCCAGTTGTGTATTATTTATTCAGGTTAACCCATGAGACAATAAGAAACATTGTAGGCCACTCTCATAACCATATTATTTTCATTGTGCCACAATTTGTCAATATGCCAATATGGGGCCGCTGGTGTAATTAGCACCTGGCGACACACACCCTTTGATCTTTGTGTGTGAAAAGGTCAGATCGTCTAATATGGAGATGTTTGCATTGGCCGTAAAAGAGCTAAGCTTGTCACAGCAAAGGCAAAAGTAAATATAATGAGCCACGCTACTGTAATCTTTCGATCCATTTCATATGTTTGTTGTCATTGCACATATCTAGTGCTCTTCGAAGCTAATCTCCCTTCTAATATAGATTGTAATATAGTGTAGACCTAACCAGGATCAAGGATAATAACCACACTTGGGAGATGACCTGAGGCACTGTATATCATGGACTAATTTGCCTTGACTGCACTGTCTTAACACATAGGGCCATTTTAGAGATGTCAAAACAGAATTAGTTCATTTTAAATGCTATAAGAGGCCCAAAGTTATTCTTCATTTTCTGAACCTAGCATCCTAAATATTCACCATGATTAATTTATAATATATTTATATATATATTTAATATATTTATATTTCACAACTTTCAGTGACATGATTTACTGTCATGGTAAAGCTGACAACAACTAGCATGCCAACAGCACCCTTCCTGAATGTCAGATGATAATATGTTTTCTAGATGTAGACAGCACACAGCAGACTTATTCTGTCTGAAGAGCAGCTTTTTCAATATATCTCTGGTGGGGCAAAACAACTTTAAAACAAAACATAGTTCATGGACATAAATTAGATACAGCTACTTTATATTTCATCAAATTGCCGCACAAAAAATATGCATCTGATACAATGAAGATGTATTCACCCAATGACACACACATCCTTGTGTTTGGCTTTTCCCTTCTGATGTAATAATAGTGGATCATTTGCCTCCCAGTGTGCAATGATTCACATATTGATTTGTTTGCTTGATTTGTCTTTATGGGACCTGCAGTACACACACCGGCTTAGGACACTTCCGCTGTGAATGAATCGTAATTTAGAAGGAAATAACTGTGAGGAAACAAGGTTTATTATTAGGATTGTTTTTGCAGTGTTCAATAAAATAAACTGTTAATTGCAATGATGAAATGAGTCAATGTGATTTGTTTCAAAGAATTGTGTGCTGTTTTAATAAGCAGCCTTATGTAACATTTCTAGAGGGATGTTTGCCACCAGCTTGTCTCTGTAGAGATATTGTCTTGTCTAGGATGTTCACAGTATGCCATAAAGCTATCTATCTTTATTACAGGTTCTTTAGAGAAGCAAAAGGATGGACACATCCAGAAAAACAGAAATAGTAGATACATGTTGAGAGGGTAGATAAGTTTAATGCCATGCTGTGGAACATTACAGGCAAAGAAATTACATCTCCAATAAGACAAGAAAGAAAAGTTACATTGTGCTCCCTGCAGTCTTTAGTTAATAAAAGCTGTTTTTACAGCCAGGTGCCTGGACTGGACTGTCTTCTGTCTTCTATACAGTTGTCGATATTAACTAATTTAAGAGTTATGGTTGAAAAACTGCAAAACTTCAGAGCAATTAACTTATAGGACCACTGTGAAAATGGCTAAAGTTCTGAAAGTCCTACTCTGAAAACTAACTTTCTGGATCAATTCCGCCGCTATCTGACCTTAAAGACATGTGACAGTTTTTCGTCATCAGAGTTTGAAGCGTCTGCAGCCGAGTGTGGAGATGTGAAGGCGTCCGTCAGAAATCAGAGCCACACAGGACTGTAGTGTTGACAGTGATGGTCTAAGCAAAGGGCAGACTGACGTGACAAGCATCCCAGTGTTAGAACAAGGAACAAAAAACTCCAGTTCGGGTGAAGAACACAGAGCGAATACATTACGAGGAGTAACTAAGGTCTCACTTTCTGACTCATGTTTGGGTCGTCATGAATTAAAGATGGCTACCAAACGCACTAAAATGCACTGAAACTCCAGAGGTTTTCAGTGCATTTTAGGAACACAAGGCACCCTGGGAATATGGCTCAGAGCTGATACTGATACTGGAGGGGGAAGTTTTATCTCAGCGCTTTAAGAGGGTAACAAGCATTTATCTTGTTACCATGAGAGTGACAGAATGCCTAGGTTGAGTTGTGCCGGTCCAGATAAGACAGCACTCATCTGGAGTTAGGGCTGGAAAGTGGAGACTTGCTACCCCTGAGGTATCTAAACACATGATAGGTTTCTGTATTTGCTGACGCTGCAGGCAATAAACAACCATCAGTATAAAATGGCAACAGGTTTTGGTGATTTGTTTTGCTTAGTTGAACTTTCTTTCTCAGCCTTTATGAAATAGCTCAGGGGTAAGAACGAGAAACCACTTCAATATATTCTAAACCATGCCCAGCTCTAAGTCTGGCAGCCATCCCAGGCCAATGTGTTCACTGTCTTCCCAGGCTTCACTTTGCTTGATGAGCTTGTACACATAAAACTGGTGAGACTGGTGTGAAATTACACAACAGCAAAGCATGGTGGCTAGTATAGGTGGGCAATATATTGTAATACCCATAATTATAGGAGCAATGGCAACAGGAGAAATTCAATTTGTCAACTGGACAAAAGTTTATTTTGGCCAAACCAAAATTTTGACCAAAATAAACTTTTGTCCAGTTGACAAATTGAATTTCTCCTTTTGCCATGGATTCTACATGGACGACTGAGGCATTTTACACACTATGTGAGCAATGGTTTTAAATGTGCAAGATATTGGGAAAAGTGTTTTTGAAAATATGTCATATTTACAATCTCACAATGCTTCAAATAGACAGACTTGTGTTGTAACATTTCCAGACATCTCTGTTGAATTGCCAAAATATCTTTAGATTATTATGGTTATTGTTAATAATTTCTAACATTATTTTCCAAGTGTAGTAGCTTGTATTCAAGGTATGAGGGTCTTGTGTTGAAAATGTGTGGTTCTTTTGCGGAGCTGGCTTGCTCTCCTTGTGTCAGGTTGGCCACATCAACCTCCAGCTATACATGACTTAAATCCATGACTCAAGATCTGGAGAGGGATCTTGGACCTGCTTCTGTCAGTTTGGGTCAAATCTTTGGACAAAAGTTCTATGAAGTAACAGGAAGTCACAAAAGAAAGGTTATTGTTCACCTATGAGCAAGTAACAGTTTACACTCCTCCATTGCTCCCTGATGTATGCAGTATAACAGAAACTTGACTGGTTGGTAAATTGAAATAAAAAATACACTAAAACACAAATGACACTCTTCACATTTGCATTTATGGTAAACACTTTGATATCTTTCAGATGCAATATTGCTGCGTGCATAAGATTGATAATATGCTCAATTTTCCATAGTAGATAATTGAGACTTTTGTGCACACGGTGACCTTTGAAAAGCTGAGGCATTCACTTGCCAAACACCTTCTATATAATTTATGCTTTTTGTTGATGTTGCTGTAGTGTGAGCGTGACTAGGTTAGATATGACGGCAGGACATAGCACATTCAGCAAGATCTTCACTTTTACAACACAAATTAGACCATTATAGAGCACTGATCCATAGAATTTAAGGTCAAGGGGTTTTCTCTCACTTCATCAAATATAAAATGATGCTGACAACAGTCAATGCAGCAGGACTGAGATATGTTTACTACCACTACTACCACCACCACCACTACTACTACTACTACTACTACTACTACTACTACTACTACTACTACTACTACTACTACTACTACTACTACTACTACTACTACTACTACTACTACTACCACTACCACTACTACTACTACTACTACTACTACTACTACTACTACTACTACTACTACTACACTACACTACCACTACTACTACTACTACTACTACTACTACTACCACCACCACCACTACTACTACTACTACTACTACTACTACTACTACTACTACTACTACTACTACTACTACTACTACTACTACCACTATTGCCATTACAACTATTAATACTGTTACCATTATTACCGCCACCACCACCACAACTACTACTACTACTACCACCACTACCACTACTACTACTACTACTACTACTACTACTACTACCACCACTACCACTACTACTACTACTACTACTACTACTACTACTACTACTACTACTACTACTACTACTACCACTACTGACATTACAACTTCTAATACTGCTATCACTACCACCACAACCACCACAACCACCACAACCACAACACAACAACAACAACAACAACAACAACAACAACAACAACAACAACAACAACAACAACAACAACACTACTACTACTACTACTACTACTACTACTACTACTACTACTATTACTACTACTACTACCACTACTGCCTTTACAACTACTAATACTGTTACCACTACTACTACCACCACCACCACAACAACAAGTACTACTACTACTTCTACTACCATTATTGCTGCTACTACTACTACTACTACTACTCAAACCTTTACTTTTTTGCATCCAAAGCAGATTTATCAATAAAAGGGTGTGTTTAAGTTGCCAGTCGAGAAAACCTGGATTACTGAGGGACAAATATTGAACAATGTAAAAAAAAAAAAAAAAAAAAAAAACATCAATTAACTGTCTCTTGCAGTTGTTTTCTTTATGTCTTGAGTGAAAGTGAAAGGCCATGGTTACTGGACATGGTCTTGATAATGTCCAGGGCTGAGGCTGACCCATAAAATAGCATGGATTCTTAACTCTATTGCTTCTCACTTATGACACTTTGAGGTCTGGGGGGGTGGACAAATGACTAAAAACATTGTCAGCGAGTTTGGCTTGAGGCCCATTTAGTACACACATACACCCCCCCCCCACACACACACAGTGAACTAGCCTTTCCCATTATGGCC